CTGGTACATGTAATCTGTTACTCCCCAACACTGATCACATGACATCACAAGGTGGACAATCTTTTTTTTTTTTGGACTTTATTAAATTTAAACTTATTTTTACACCTCGTCTTTGCCGTTCTGTTTGGTCCACTACAAGGCAACATCATTATAAATGGCTTGAAGTTCACTAGAATCCATTTTGTGTAATCTAGGAACTTTAAAGTGTGTTTAAGTTGGTTCTCCTTCTTCTATACAAGCACATTTTGGTGACTGTGAAAAAATATATAAATGGGTTTTCACCAGGTACTCCAGTCTCCCCCATTTGAACAGGCACCATTTGCACATAAACCACAGGCACAGTGCAGTAACATTTCTCAGTTCCTCAGTCATCCAGGTAGAATCCATCGCAAAGGAGAAATTCAATTTGTCAAGTGATGTCACGTGGAAACAAAAAACAAAGGGAGGACCCAAACTGTGGGACAGTTTTAAAGTTTTTTAATAACAAACAAAAAAAGATAAAAAAAAAAAAATCCATAATCCAAAAATCAAAACTAAACTGCCATGACAGGACAAGACACTGACAAAGACACAGACGATGACAAACACAATGGACCAACAAAGCGGAGAGGAGAACACAGGGTATAAAAGCACACAGATACAGGTGAAAGGTGGGACAAACAATGAAGACAGGAAGTAAAACTCAAAACTTGAAGCAGACAAAATAAAACACCAAGGGCACATTGCAATAAAGGAATAAGCTACATCAGGGGTGTCAAACTCATTTTGGTCCTGGGGCTGTATCCATCCGACTCTGATCCCAAAAGGGCCGGATCAGAAAACTTGTGGCATATATACCCCCAAAATAACAATAATTTCAACTATTTGTGCGGAGAAATGCAAATCTATAACAGAAATCTTTTTCAATTGATCAACTCTTTCTTTTACAAAATATTATAATATTATGAACAACCTGAAACTTTAAGAAAAATGCAAGTTCAGCACAATGAACTTGTTTGCAAATAGGAGTAAGTCCTTTTTTTTTTTGGAAAATCCTGCACTCGGCTCCACTTTTCTCACTTTTGACATTTTGTTGATGAGGGTGTCACGGTCAACAGTCAAAACGATCGTCCTTTAAGAGAGTTTGGAAAGAGACAAGTCTTCATTTGTGCTGCTCTGGTGGGAGGGGCCACGCACAGAGACACTGGAGACACTGCATTGCTAAGCACAGAAAATTACCAATATTTTAATAGAAAATATAATTAAAATATTTAAGTAGAAAATCAGTCAAGGGACAGATTAATGGTCTTGGAGGGCCGGATCTGGCCCCCAGGCCGTATGTTTGACACCTTTGAGCTACATCAAAATAAGCAAAAACAACGACTACAAAACATAAAAGAAGGCAAGTGCACAAAAGTTGAAGAAGCAGCTTGGATGAACTGTGAAACATATACGACAAAAAAGCTTTAGTCTAGTTGACAAATAAAATTTCTCTTTTGCCAACCTGTTGAGTCACTTTTTTCCAACTTAAAAGGTGCAGTGTGTAACTTTTATGGTAACAGATGTAGATTTTTTGATTAATGTTCCATGTTAATCTAATCCATCTTGCATTTATTCCTCAAGAACTTTTTCACAGCTTGAAAAACATGCATCTGTCCAGTAACTACAACTGATGATGTCACCTGATGTTTCCATAAGAATAAACATTTATTAGCAAACTCTGGAATAGTCGATAACATGTCCATGCAAGTGGCAGACTCTCCACCTAAAAACTTACAGACTGCACCTTTAAATTTGTCTTAGATTATGTAACTGTTCTGTTCCTTTCCATGAGTGTGGACTGAATAAACAATGAACTGTAAAGTGCTTTAGGTGTCTTGAAAGGCGCTATACGTATAAATGCTATGATTAAATAAATTGATTAATTAACTTTCCTAGTTGATGGCCCGCTATGTTTCCGTGGTGATAATATAGATATGCCTAGGTTCCATTCTGTGACGCTATTAAACTTATCAATTATCTCCATGAAGATAATTCAATTTACAGGCCATAAGGTTCAGAATACATACATGCAGATACTTGATTAACAAACAACTAGAACTGAATCTTGGATAGTTTTATAATTTAATGCCATACTGTGGACCATTCCAGACAATGCAATAACATCTCCATGGAGACCTGCGACCAGAAAAATGACACAGTGCACCTTTAATTGACATCTCCTCTTACCAACTGCCCCGAAAAGCCCCGCATTTCACAGCAACCGTATTCATGACCTATAATCCTGACCCGGCTGTATGCGGCGTGACGTTGGGGCGAGCGGAGGGAGGGGAGCGGGCGCTGGAGGGTGCTACACAGAGGAGCCCCCCCACAAAGAAAGAGGAAGGGATGAAGATATGCTCGGACAAGATTAGCAGGAAATCAGTGAGTAGATTAGTGCAGCCTGGACTCCCCGAGCACACACGCTGCTTTCACTTTCCCCAAAGCACTGACACTAAGCCCGGATCACACTGTCTGATCCCCTTTGAGAGGCGCAGGGGTCCGGGGCAGGAAGTGGAGGGAGGCTTAATGGACTTACCTTCGAGAGGCTTTGGGAGGGGCTGCAGGAAGTAGAAGACTGTACCTTTAAAATGAAAATCACTCAAGGAAAATTAAGGTTGGTGCTGAATGCATTGTGAAATTTTTTAACACTTTATGGTAATTAGCAGGTTTAGCAGCTGCTTAATACCGTAATTATTTAAAACTGGTATTAAATAAGTGCTTAATGAGCTATTAAAGGTTTTATATTACACAGATTTGACCTGGAGTTGTGTTTTGTTTCATTCACACATGTTTAAGTAATCTAGCATTATTAGTCTGTCACATCACCAAACCTCAAAATGCTCTGTTGCACCTGGTGATGTCATGAAGTGGTTGTTTTCATGTTAAAAGCTTTTACTTTTTGTTGAGTAGATAAGACATTCCAGGGCTGAAATTATCCAAAATGATTCTAGTCGTGTATGGAGTTTAAAAACGCAGTGGAGCAATTCCATCATCACGTGACATCACAAGGTGAAACAGAGAAGAACTCAGCCTAAATATGCAGGGTTTGTGTGTTAAACATGTTTGAATAAAAAAAAAAAACAACTCCGGGTCTGTTTGTGATGAGGAAACTAACGTCAGAAAATAGTGTAATATTAAGCTGTTGTTCAATATGAATTAAGTCTTAGTTGATGCTTTATTATGGTGTCATTATAAAGTGTTGAAGTGTTCATTTTGTGATATTTTCTAGGACAGTAGTCATCAATGCACTGACTAAAAGAAATATCCAGCAAATGTGATCTCTCTCTCAATCACTGTGTTTGACAATGGAAATGGAATGTATCAAGGCCGAATTATAGTTCTGCGTCGACTCAACTCACACTGCCGCCGTCGCTGTCGTTTTTGATTTATGAATCTGTGTCAAGGTCCATGTGCCGCGAAGTAATTCACTGCCCCAACGCTAGGAGGCTAGAGTTTAAAAATGGCATTCGTGTACACAAAATGAAGCGGGAAAGCGGCGTACCGGAAATGTATGTAGAGAGGATGTAGAGAGGACCAATCACAGGCCTTACTGTCTGTGTCGCTTTACCTTACTGTTTGCGTTAGTTCGAAGTGTAGTTACAAAATTTGTGAGATGCACATCGGTCAACGCAGACGCTCTGCAAAGGTCGTTCAAGGTGAGTTCAAGTCCTTGTCACGACGCAGACGATTTGACACACAAGCATAAACTGCGCTTTAGGCTGCACGAGGTACCATTGGATAGGTGTTTTTGTTTTTTATTGCTATAACCTACTGCACAATGGTAGAACAGAATACTACTGATACTCTGCAGCAGTCATTCCTTGGGAGAGTGAAGATAACTGTAGGCACTGCTGTCTTCTCTGTTACTCATATTAGACTTTAATCTTACTAGAACATCATTGTGGAGCCTCCTGTTTAACAAGTCTCTCTCAGATAACATCAGACACAAGCATTTAGTCAAGAGTGAAAACTTGGGTAACACTAGTTTAGGAACCACATATTAATAGCTAACTAATATTAAAATACATAATAAGTGCCTAATTATATATTTGTTAGTATTTATAAAATACTTTCAATGCATTTTTGCCTGCGGCTTTATTTTGCAAGTTTTCTTCCCATTACAGTACTGGGGATCACAATACACTGAAATATTAATAAGTAAGTGTTTGATAAATACCAAATAATAGCTAAGTAACATCTAATAAGCATAAAAATTACTACTTAGTTAGCAATTAATATGTAGCCAGGCTGATGCCATCTAGTGCCTCCGCTCAATTTCATTTCTCTCCAGTGACTAGGTCAGGAATCAGAATACACTAGACAGTTTGCAAGAATCCCAGAAGTGTGAGTTCGGGCACCAGCCAATCAGCGAAGAACCATACATACTGTGTTGGTAACGATTCCCGAGATCGAGGATTTAAAGCTGGAACAAAGAGAATGTTTGGTGAATTTCATCAAAGGAAAGACGTTATTGTCCTTTTTCCTACAGGATTTGGGGAAAAGCTTAATTATACCTCATTTGCAGCGCCTTACATACGCCACGACCAAACAGCAGTGATTGGTTAAATAAAAAAAGTACCCACCTATCGTCGAGCGAACGAATACTAATACTGCGAGGTCAGACGGTTTCTAAGTGAAGTGAAACCAGCTGATGAATCAGGCTAATTAATATGTGGCACCTAAACTAAAATGTCACCAAAACGTGTATTGATCAGAGGCTCCTGAAAATGTGTTGACTCAATTTTAAATCGATTTTCTTGAGTTTTCAGGCAGTTTAAACAGTCTATGGCTCTAAGGCTATGTTTACTAATGTGTGCATTGTGTCACCATGGTAACTGCTGAATATTCCGCCATAGACAGATAGTACGTGCAGACCCTCTGAAGTTCTTATAAACGCAGGAGACAATCGTGGGAACCTGAAAAATGACAATTAAAATGCATTTGGATGAATAATGAAGGGCACTTGTAACAGACACATATCCGTTTCCCCAGCTCCAGGGAAGGCTACATTGTTTTATTTGAGTGTTTATTAATAGGTCAACAGTCAGCCAAGCATCCAAGCATACAACAAGTTACTCTTTAGCTTTTGTATTACGTTCTGAACGCAAAAAGGAATTACAATAGGTCAAATTCAACTAAACAAAAACAAAATATATTTACATTACTGCATTATAAATATGTCAAATGTACATCATTATACACAAGTACCAAAGATGGTCACTTAATGTCGAGAGACCACAATCAGAGTACCTTAAAATATGCTTAAAAACAAACCAAAACTACATATTAAAATGGCGGTTTGTGGGTCAAAAAACGGAATTTCTTAGGAGCGAAAAAGCTAATATGTACACTTTACGTTGAGGGAGATAGTTTCTAGTGTTGAAGCGTCTACTTTATGCAAATATCTGGAAATCACTGTACAGGTTTACCTATTAGCCCCTCAAGCTAAATAAACACGCTAGGTCAAGTAATCAGATCAAAATAAGGCTAGTACCGCTGTACAGTACACGTAAAACACAGTTAAAGTAGTGGCTAGTAGTGTTTTGTCATTAAGAAGTTGTCGGACATTTTGGGGAACTAAAATATTTCCCTTTTTGTTTGAGAGAAATTTAGATTTAGCGGCCGTTAAGCAAGGCAGTTAGCTTGTAGCACTGAAAAAAAAGTTAGCTTAGCGTTGATGAAGCTACGTAAACAAAACAACAGAGCGCTACACAGGTTTAGCATCTGTTAGCATCAAGAAAATAAGTAATAAATGCTTTCAGAATAAAAAAAAAAAAAAGCTAACTGTAACTGCAAAACCATACTCTCATGTTTGCGCAAAAGTATTCCCCAAAATATCCAACTACTTCTTCAGTGACCACTTTAAAATTATCACAGGTGAAATACTGTAAAAAAGTACCAAGGTATTGTAAACAAATATCTTGGTTTAAAAGCTTAAAACAATGACCTTAAAATGGCAGTCAGTAAAAAGAAATATATCAACAAACTCCCTTAAACGATCAAGTATGACTCAAATGGCTTATTTTACGCAATATATGAATACTTATTAAAAAAAAAAAAATAGATGCAAACTGGTCTACAAATCGCGTTTAAAGTTCAGTCATCTGCTGCTTGTTGTACTCCCCGTGGTTTAGGCTGCGTATTAGCATTTCGGACAGTAGGACGACACAGAGAAAGGGATTTTGACCATTCTAAAAGTCATAGATTATATAAGACTTAAAGTGTGTATGACAGGTTAGACTACTCATTTCACTAAAACACAGTTAAGATTGTTGTATTTAAGATTTGACTAAAGATTTGGCAATTTTTTAGGTTTGAAATTTTACGTTAAGGTCACCAGACGTTCCCATTTACCTGGGAAAGTTCCAGTTTTGAGCCATGATTTATCCAAAACCACTGATTTGTCCCAATTTTAGACAACAAATATCCCCGGTGTCCCTAATTTTGACCATTTTTGACGGTAAAGAGAGGCGTATATTGACATTTGTTTAGATAAAATACAGAAAATCTGCTTAAAAATGACCAAAACACAAAGAAAATGTGACCGGGTGCAGAACAGTTACTCACAGTTTCACAATTTTATTATACAACCCTTAATAGTTTTTTATTTTGAAAATCTGGTCACCCTATTTTACTTCCTAGTTAACAATCATGACATCACGCTCGGGAATTCCATCACTGTTACCTAGTAACCATAAAAATATAAGGAAATTTTGCAGAAGTCAGAAAAATGACTTTCTTGAGCAAACTGTGCCAAACTTTTGGACACAATTCTCCCACTCTCTACTTGTAATTTTCAACATATTTTTCAACTTTTCTTCGCAAATTGCTTCTTTATTGGTGTAAAACTTTAATTTATATTTACAACCGGATTTATTCTACTAAATTAAGCAAAAATTGAGAATCATCGGAACCTGTCATACTCACTTTAAGGAGACGTGACTACTTTTTACAAGTCTGTACACAAAGTTAAGATGTCAGTTTCCTTTTCTTTGTCTTATTTCTAATGTGGTTTGTACCTATAGGGACGCTGAGACTATGTTACACAGATTCACAGACAAGAAACGGAAGAGTACAGAGGAGAGGAGAAGAAAAGTGGACCGAAGGACATGGGGACATACTATGAATAAGACAAGGAACATTATTAAAGCAAAGTTAGCTGCCCTTTACTAATCACTGCGTTAAACTGCACGTTGGAAGTTTTCTGGTGGAGATGCAGGTACCACAAAAAATTACAATATGACTTTAGAAATCTTCATACAAGAAAATGTGAATTTGTAGGAAGAAAAGTCAATTTGTATGTACCATGTCTTTCTGCTGTTGTTAACTGTTAAGAAAATGGGTGTATCCTGATTCCTGAGATAGTCCTGGTCCCCATTTTGGTGTCATTTTCGGCTCATTTTTCCCATAGAAATCCATTATAGAACTGGCAAGCTTACAGACACATTGCAAATTATGTGCTACTTGCAGGTCCACTTTTCTTTTACTCTCCGCGATACAGCTCCCAAACTCGCATACAGTAGACACGACTAATGTGCCATATATATCGGCCATTTCACAGCAACAATGGAGGAAATGGTCTCGGAAAAGTCTAGTGTTCGAGGGCCACGGGAGGTGAAGGAATATTCCATTACGCTGCAGCCTTGAAATCTGCGCCGAATCTACGTTGCAAACAATTATCAACACAATCTAGTCAATCGAAGAATTACGGCAACAAAGACACTGTAATGGTACAATTTCTCAGTATGATTCTCGCGCTGGAATATGAATGAAATCTGATTGAAGAGGCGCATTAACAAAAGCGGAGAAGCTTGATGGTCATAAAACATGGTGGTCTGTAATTTCCTTATGGTTAGGGACACTTTCGTCGGAGGATCGCTGAAAAAGAATCACTTTCAACCCACGATAATCCTGCAATCAAAGCCAAACCCATTTCGCTGCAAATTAAGTAAATCATTTGGACTTTTCAACTATAATTGCTTTGCCTTTGTATATAGATGGTATGTCAAGAGTTTGATGGCTGCGTTAGAGACATGCATCATTACTAAAGCTGCGAGATTATGGAAGATTCACTTTTCGTTCTCGCATTTGTCACTTGAAAAACTATTCCTCACAGTTTTATGATATTGGGATGTGCGGAAAATTCTCATTCGCGCTCATTAAGGAAACAGGGACGTGTTCGCGAAAAAGGGAAGACATCAAGCGAATGTTGTAGCACGGAGGAAATGGTTTGTGTAGGTACCAATGCCTAAGTAAGTCATTTGTTTGGTTGACGCTTAACAAAAAAAGCTTAAATCCGAGCTGAGTTACAGTTTACCAACAGAAATTACAAATTATATGAAACAATGAAACCTGAATCGCCCATGTCTTTTCAGCGTATTGGAATATCGAACAACTGGAATGTCCCTACAAAATTTCGTTAAATTGATACTTTGCAGCAGACGTCATCAACATTCTCTGGGAGTGTGATGATAACTGAAACTACTCCGTTAGAAGATCTGTTACTCTTGTTAGATTTAATATGAGCTGCTTTTTTTTAACACAATCTGACCAGAAAGAGCTGACTTGGAACTACAAGGGGTGAGATGATTTGTGCATTTAAATAAGTCTCTTACACATAAAATTACAGTCAAAAGATTTTTCAGTTTTAAGTCACTCCCACCTTTTTGTTGAAACTCAAACCGTGAACACTCGTATTGATCACAGCCTCCTGAAAATGTCTTGTTTAAATCCATTAAAGTTTTTTTCTTTTTAAAACTTAACTTCTGAACATTCCGCCAATAGAGATCCATGTAGAACACCCCCAGCATGACGTCACTGCAAAGTATCAACGGGTACGCGGCGGGACGGGAGGTACAGACAGAGCGAGTGGGTTTAAGAACGGGAGTCCTACATGATGCTAATACTGCGATTGAGTTCACACTGGGCGTTGTTGTTGTTGATGTTGGGGTTTCGGCGCGTCATGTTGGGCGTGGGCACGGAGGCCAGGGTGCTGTTGTCGTTGGGGCACCCGTGCTGGAGCAGGATGTCGGCGCACTCCTGGCTCCCGGCGCGGCGGGCGTACGACAGGGGGGTCTGCCCACGGGCGTCACGACTCTTCACGTCCACGCCGTACTGAGAGGAGGAAGGGGGGGGGGGAGAGGTTACGCAACATGATGGTAAAACTAAACAAAAACTAGTCTTCATCAACCAAATGAGATTATACAATTATACATTATTATATTAAATAGTCACATATATTGATACTACAGTGACAAATATCATATGTTTCAGACTATAAGGTGCACCGGATTATAAAGTGTAATATCAATAATGTTGAATTCGCTCGTCTATTTTCATACATAAAGTGCACCGGATTATAAGGTGCATTAAGCAAAACAAACACCATTTGAGACTGATACCTTAGCCCAGGCATCCATGATCCATTGGCAGAAGGTGGTGTAATTTGCCTGGTGTTGCATCCCTGTCTTGGTGAATGTGTATTATGAATGTGAATGTGGGTGGATAATTTAAGTTTGGATTTTTATTTCCTACAAGGAGGACTCAAATATACATTGAGTAATAATGTGTTTAATGCAGCTTTGCGCACATATGTTTTACAGAAACAAAATGTAAAACCACATGGCTCATTTGCATAAATTATAAGCGCTGAAAAAACAGCTTGCTCCTTGTGTGCTGATGTGGTCAGCTTCTGTAATGCTCCAACAATCCATCAAGTGGTGTGGCTTTGTAGCTTACCAAAGTCATACTAAAACATTCTGACAGATTTTTGAGCACCATGTACCACATAAAATTGGTTTGAGGTCAGTAAGCACAACAATTAATACGTGAGGCGCACCGGATTATAAGGATAATTAAAGGATTTTAAGTGCGCCTTATAGTCCAAAAAACACGGTATTCACTATATTGTACTTGTCACATATATTGATACTACAGACACAAATAATATGCATTAGTATTGTTAAACACTTTTCTAACATATCTTAGATTTTCCATTCACGCTTCAAACTCTTTTGTAGCCACAGATGCCCAGGGCAAGACAGAAAATTGGCTCCCAACCCATGCCTACTCCCCCTTCTAACCACATCATTCCCCACACTACATTCATACATAGGTAGATGAAGTGTCTTGCCCAAGAACCCAACAGTATGCACAAGTCTGGAATTGAACCATCATTCCAAGTAGTACTATCAAATAAATGTTCTAAAATTCACTGTAACTTCAAATCCCTAAAAGTCAAAACTGGACTCACCCATATGAGCAGTTGTGTGATGACCACGTTGGCCATGGCGCAGGACAGGTGCAAAGCGGTGCGCCCGTCTCCGTCCCCGTACGTCTCATTCACCTCCTCTTTGGTGCCGTGAGCCAGAAGCACCACCACCAGCCTCAGGTCGTCCTCCACCACGGCCCGGAGCAGCTGCTGGCCAAGGGGGATGTCTGACTGAGACAGGCCCACCAGGAACAGCTTCTGCTCGTACTTAGCCCGGATCCACCGCTCCTTCTCCTCCCTGCAGAGACACGAAGAGCAGAGTTAGACTGGGTTAGCGGTCTTTATGCTAATGCTAACTTTGTGTTTTCGACTGTTCTCTTTTCATGAGACGCCACAGTGAATTATCAGCTAATGTAGAGCTGGGCCATATGAAGAAAATCTCATTGACTGATCACAATATTTGTTGTTATTTTGTTTAATTAAAAACAGATAAAACATAAACACTAGACTTTCAGTGTCATTTATGAGTGTGCCTATGTTCCCTAAGCCCTAAGTTTTTTTTTTCTTTTCAGAATTAGGCCCCCTATGTTCCCACATTTCCTTTATCATCAATTTGCATCAGAATTTATCCCCATTTCTCCCAATTTTGTAGTCAATTACATCCAACCTATTAACCAGAAGCAGTAGATGTGATGTAGAGGTCACTGTGCAAAGGATCCTAGGTTGAAATTACTCTCAATCATCCCTTCAAATGGGGTATAAAAATAAAAATGACTTGACTTGGAGTTTAATTTTGAGAAAAACTCTTAGAAATAAGGGAACATAGGGATGAGGGAACACAGAGCTGACCCCACATTTATCACAAGCAAGAGTCTAATGTGTTTCTCCAAAGTCTGAACTCTGCCCTGAAATGCAGCTGCATGTCTTTAAAGAAAACACATTGTGCTTGAGCCTGTAATATAATTGTACAATACCCATGGATCATTATGGACATTTTAAACTGAAATATTCATCTAAAATGACTTGATAAAAGAAACAAGAGTGCTGACTTCTGTGTTAGAGCCATTGCACTAAACATCAGTTGTTGGCAACTCTGATGGATAGCTGCAAGTCACCAAAATGACTCCACAAGGCTTCTGAATCGTACACGTCTTAAACCTGAATTTAAGATTGACAGGAATATCTGTACTTTGCCTGCTGCTATCATTGTCTGAACCATCATAAAAATCATGTATACAGAACTCCTTCTCCCTGGAGTAGAACATGACACGGACATCGCGGGTCAGCCCGGGTGAAGCATGGACCAAGTATTTAGCACCTCAGCTAGCACATTGACAACAACAGCACTTCGTTTATGGGCACATACAAAGCGGTAGGGAAGACACAGGGGAGATATTTCTGTAATTGTCCGGGACACTAGCTGATGTGAGCTGACATTTCTGAATTATTAGCGCACAGACCTGCACTTGACTCAACTATCACAGTGGGAAATAATGGCGAGATAGGAGAATGCCAAAGGGGTGCGACGCCGCGGACAATATTCCACTTCCTGGACCGTTAAGACTCTGGCTGGTTTTCTAAAGGTTACAACAGCTTGTCTAGTGCGGACAATACAGAAAGGAGGGGGACATATTTTTATCTTAGCTGTCGGCTGTCACTCTAAACCGGAGGATGCCCCACAAAAGAGCGCATGTGTGTGTATGTGTGAGCGTGTCCTGCCCTGGGTCCCCGGAGGCCCTCACTCAGATCGATGGGGCTGAAAGGGAGCCAGAGACGGACCTGTGCGCAGTGGTCAACGTCACTCCAAAGCAAAAGCATAGAATAGACCGGACCAAAGCTGTATCACTGGGCAGAATAATATCTATAGCTCGCCATCTTGACCCAGACAAACTGTCTAAATAAGAGGGAAAATCGATAGGCATAGGTGGATGAGTGGGCATGGGTGGGGTGGCAGTGACCCGGTGACCCTGTCGGCGGTGGTGATAAGAGCAGCGTTGCGGGGCTGTTGTTCAGGATGGCCGGTGAGTGACAGAGCAGAGGAGGTCTGGATGGAGGAGAAAAGGGACTGACGCTGGCTGGAGTGACAAGCTCCTCATGGGACGCGCTATCACCAGGACAGGCCCTCGCACCGGGTGTATAATGACAATTTAGTTGTTTGGTGCCATTTCAGAATACGCTAATATACAAGTCAAACATGCTGGATGGATGCTCAAAGTACATGGGAAAAGTGAATGTGAAAATTTGTAAGTACGAGTATGCATGATGGAAAGCGAAATTTTCTTTATTGATATTTATTCAAACAAACCAAAGACCAAAAATGTACTTAGAACTACCAGAACTACTTAAAAACGCTGTACCTGAATTGGACTTGAATTCGTTTTAAACAATTTGCAGTTCGATTCATTAGTTATCTATTTCCAATAACTTAAGTATGCACCATGATGAGTTTCTAAGTGAACTTTCTGAGGCGATAGTGGCGTTTTGTTGTCAAATTAAAGCTAACAACAACTAGCAGTCTAACCACATACTTCCTGAATCTTGTACAGTACATGAAGACAGTACACTGCTGCGCCACCTAGTGCCTCTGCTCAATTTCATTTCTCTCCAGGGACTAGGTCAGGAATCAGAATACACTAGACGGTTTGAAAGAACCCCGGAAGTTGTAGAGCGCGCACTGGCCAATCAGCGAAGAGCTGTGAAGCCATGACGTCAAACTCAAGCGCCTGTCTGGGTCCCTTTTGTGGTACAGGACAACAGTAAACAAAGCAGTCGAGATAAATGTAGACGAAGTCAGACACACTGTGTTGGCAATGATTCCAGAGATTGAGGATTTAAAGCCAGAACAAAGAGAATGTTTGGTGAATTTTAACAAGGGGAAAAACGTTATTGCCCTTCAACCTACTGGATTCGGCACATTACATACGTCACGACCAAAAAGCAGCAATTGGTTTAATAAAAAAAGTACTCGTCTACCGTCGAGCGAATACTAATGCAGCAAGGTCAGACACTTTCCACGAAGTGAAACCGGTTGATGAATCAGGCTATATCAATAATCTATACTGGGGAACTTTTGCTTAAAACACATGGAGAATGTAGTCACCATACATAACATCACTGAAAACCAAAGATAATGTGGGTTTCCTGTGAGGTTTGAACTGTCTAGCAGTCAGTTTGTTGTTTGGAACGTTAACTGACTGTGCCATCACCACTGTACCATGCCAATATCACATAATAGTAATAACAAACTACAAAACAGCAATCATACTATATTTCTAACATTAAAAAATATGGCAGTACATTCTGTTTGCCAAAAATGTGCCTTGAAAGCCATTTCACGGTTCTATTTGTCCATGTAGCCTATCTACAAAACTAAAAATATCATGTTCTAACCTTTTGACATTGCTGATTGTCTGATTTCGATGACACAGACCTGCAAGAATAGCATGCATCTCAACATTAGTCACTATTATTCCCATCTTGGCGAGCAGGTGTGAAAGCTGCTTGCGGACTCCCCACAGCCCTTTTTCCAACTCCTATGTCAACTGTGGACTCATCTTACCTAAAGGAGCCTGGCACCTCGTCTCTACAGGCCAGCGCACTGTACCAGGAGGGGAAAGCCAGTTCTTATCAGCACAATTGATGAACTGCTGCAAAGCTAATAAAACCACTTGCCCCATATCTTCAAACAGAGCCAGAGCAATTGTAGCTGTTAGCAAATGAATGAATTTTGGTTAGCAACTCAGAAAACGGCTGTGTAGAGTGTCCTTTAACCCACTAAAGTATACGCAAATCTTTTCTTAAGGATGAGGGCATTATGTTCACAACAATACCACCATAATAGCCGGCAATTGCGGTCATTCTGAGTTTTATGGTGTAAGACCTCCATCAATTCCTACTCAGTCATTATGTGTGGACAAGCCTGTTAGCAAATCAATTGGCCCTAGAACAAGTGGACTGCACAGCACAGGAAGGGGCCGACCCGCCCTCCCAGCTTATTTCCGGTGGTCCGTTATAAACAAGTGTTTTTTCCTGGCTGATAGATTCAAGTGTTCACTGCAGAATCCTTAAAGTGCAATGTGCAGTCTTGTATGGTCAGGGAGAATGGCCCTGAAACAATCACGAGGGGCAGTTGTGGTAAAGTTAGTTTCAGAAAGACGCGCTGTGAATGAGATGCTGAATCGGTGGAGCCCAGTGAATTGATATGAGCTAAATGAGGCAGAAAGTTGCACAGAGATGCGAAACAAAAAGGCTGAGGAGAGCCATTAAGAAGATGTCAACGTCCCATAAAGGAGGCCCGAGGACACTTTGTAACACCGACCAGAGAAAGAGGTGACGCACTATCCCAAAATCTTAACAGCGATTTTGAGCATGGAGAAAACGCAAATGTAAGCGGCAGTGTTTTCCAAAAAAGAAAAAAAAGAAAATCCTCAGCTGGTGCCACTTGAAAAAGGAAATGAAACGGTAATCCCGCCTCTGTCTTTTGTTTGAATTAGAACAACAATATAAACAGAGGTAGGCTTTAGACGATCGGGGGGAAAACCGAGAGCCTTGAAAAGGACACTTCCTCACCGCAGGAGGAAGAAAAATAAAATCAGCAGATTTAGCATGTCAAAGCGTTTGGCCGGAGAGAGGGGGGCAGAGTCAGGAGGGGACCAGAGTGAATGTTCTCAGCATGTGGGATATTTAGCCAGCCCAACTTACTGATCCTGATAGTTTAACACAAGCACATTCAAGAATAAATAGACACCAATTTCCCCTCCCTTGAGTGCATACTTGTTCTAAATTTCGCTGTTGCTCTGGGTGCAAAGGGGGCGCTTAAAGTTGCCAATAAAAATGCCTGTCCCTCTTATACAACCAGAATAAGCTTCCCATTATACTCTTCAAAGCTGTTGTAACTGAGCTGTTTTGGTCAATTTGATTCTGAAACATCAAAAACGAGAAAAAAGATCTTAAAAAAGCGGTAGTGTCGCATTTCCATTGGCCAACCTCGACGTCGGGAGCCCCCAAAGAAAAGGCCTATTATTACACTTATGTGCTTTAAGGGCAGTGTTGAGCAATGGATTCTGACCCCGACTTAATTAAGTGGCAAATGGCAGAATGATTCTCCTAAAACCCAGCCCACGGAGTCAAGAACACATGACTGCATTCAAATAAAGAGGGACAAACAAGGGTAATTAGTCAAGCCTGAAAGACAATGGCCAATGGGAATTTATAGCAAGGGATGGGAAGCAGAGACAGAGGGGGCGGAGTCAAAGTCTCAGTGGCAACAGAATGCCCAATCTGGATACCTGCAAGTAT